ATAAAGGTTGTTAAGTTTAAAGTGACTGTGAAAATTCTGTGTGTTACTAAAATTTGTATCGAGAAAGAATAAACTAGTTTTAATTAAGAAAGGACTTGTATCGCTGAAGTTTCTCGGAAAGAATTTTTACTGGAAATTAACAAACAAACAGATACGTAACAATACATTTAATAACATAAAAACAATATGCATTGTGTCTCCATGCAAATTTTAACGCATTTTGTAATATTTTGTGTAGATACCATACGTAATAACTTTAAACAGTACCCTGTTTCCATGCCTTGTGTAAGTAGTTTTAAATAGGTTCCATATTCTTGCTTAAGAGAAGGTTTCAACAAATGAGTGTATAGCTGAAAGGCGTTTTTGATAAGCTGCATCTGTATTAGAAGCTTTAGGATGACACTTCGAGCTTCGAGGAACTCAAAACATCGTTCTAAACTTTCTAAGACAGATGCGGGCCACTGAAAATGCCTCTCAGAATATAACTTTGAAATGTGTTTCCTTGCCTTTCATAAGTAACTTTGAACCCAATATAAAATAAACTAGGATTCCATGCTTTATCTAAATAAATTTAAATACTGTGAATTGTGTTTTGTATCTATGTCTTATGTAAGAAAGATTAAACTCATTGGATAATGCATTGTTTTTATATGTCTTATTTTGGTATTCTGAAACACAGCTTGAAGTATGTATTACTATTATTTTTTACCAGGGCCTTTGGAATGGAACAGCTGTTATCAAGAGCGAAGAATGAAGGTTATTCGGCTGCAGAAGTTACTTCCAGAGCTTATAATGAAATACTGGAACTTCTGAACCAAGGAAAGTCCCTTAATGTGCCAGAATTTAATGAACAAGTCACGATGTACCGCAACCTTCATATTATAAATGAGGTAATAGTAACTCGTTATTATTCAATCTGTAGTGATAAAATTAGGGTTATGCTTCTGATAGCCTTATTGTTATCTAAATGATTTCATTGTTAGAAACATTATGTTACACAGCCTTTTGTGGGTGAAAGTGGACCAGAATTTCACGTAACACATGATAAAGCCCAATCTCTTACTGTCACAGACTACCTTTACTTAGAAATGATGGACACACACAACACTAATATTGCTTCCAATAACACTTTAACCTTCATTATTAGTAAATTATCTCTATGACTTTCAGTCAAAACATGTAGGAATATCTGACTCGGAATACGAGTAATTAAAAACCTGGTTAAAATCATAAAACACACATAACTGGAATACAGGAAAATGTATTATCATATCTATTCAAGAAACTTCTTAAGTTCTTTCTGATTTTAAATCATTATGGACACGTGTATGATGTTTTTTATGTTTTGTATCAAGTTAAATGTTTCTATGTTATTCGTAATTCTGAACCGCTAGGGTAGGATCTATATGACTTCAAGCTGATAATTAGTTCTAACAATTTGTAGTAATATTGATTTTTTGTATTTTCATATTTAGTGAAAATTTTTGAATACTATAATATACTCTTTTTAAACGTGTTATAAAACTAGTAAAGACGTATTTTAAGGTTGTCCCACCAAACACCATCCTAAACATTAAGGATGAATTGTATTATAAGTTAGAATTTTTACAATTTTGTCGTCATCTAGCTCTAAAACATATTAAAGTTAGTTACACTTTATAAGAACAATGTTTCTGGTTTTGTTTTACCTTTGGAACTACTTCCTTCATCAACAATTGTGCTCTATCTGTTGGTTATGATGAGGGCCCCCCCAGTAGCACAGCGGTATGTCTGTGGACTTACAACGCTAGAATCCGGGTTTCGATACCCGTGGAAGGCAGAGCACAGATAGCCCTTTGTGTAGCTTTGTGCTTAATTACAAACAAATTATGATGAGGTAGATTTACAAATTTCATGGTAACTATCTGACAAAGTAAATCTTAGGCCATTCATCATGATAAACTTTACACAGACACCCTACATGGACATTGGCTTCGAATGCCATTTTAAAGCATACAAAAGTCCATGAGGTCTGCAACAGGGAGTTGATATGTGTATAGCTGAATATTATTCTTGTGACTACTGTTTTTTGGAAATGTTTCTCTTGAAAACAGGGAATGGTTTCATGATGTCGTTGGATGAATAGTCAAAGTTTGGCTTGTGATCCTTCTTTAACTTCAAATAATTGTTTGTTGTTTGTTATTGGTACCAAATGATAAGCTGGGCTTATATGAATGGCTTTTTGTGTTGGTAGACCTTTCTTTCTACCATTTGTCTTCACTTTGTTGATGAAAGCATTGTTCTGGACTGGGGTTTAGTTTAAAAGTTTTTTACTTATCTTAAATGCTTTTTGTGCCACTTTTCTGCTTTCATAGAGAATAATGACGGATTCTAACTTTGAAATGTTATGTTCTAGCCTTTAATATTCATCATGTAACAATCTTGCTATACGAATATTCTTTCTCGGAAAACACTGTCATATGTTGGGAAAATACTTTGAACCAAGTATATAAGTACCAGATACGTTGTCATGATGCCACTGTTTCGTATCTGTGGCGACAGACTCCTGTCTTACTGCATTATTATGTGTAACTTGTTTTTTATAAAGTGCGATTAATATTCTGCAATTAATGTTGTTTTCCTTTCAACCTTCTAACCTTATCCTTTGGAGAGTTATTTTTGCCACTCTCGGGAAAGTCAAGATTCTTTCCCAGTTTAGACTATTGAAATACCGTACATGTTAAAAAGTCAGATAAAACTATCCAACTTCAACATCATGTAAATGAATTCACTTAGCTGTTTTTCATAATACTAAGAAAACCGGAAACAAAAATAGCTGCTAAGACTATTTTAATTTAAACCATGAAGTGATGAGAACAATATTTTGATACATCTCAGCATAAGGATATTTGACTATTTTCACAAAATCTACTTGCTACTGAGGATATTGAGAATCAAAAGTTTTTCACGAGATCTTGGGTATATCACGAGGAAGGGGGCGCTTCAAAACCATATTACATTGTATATTTAATTTGCTTTTCTAGTAAACTATAGCATTGCTTTATGCTTTTAGTTTTTCCTTTTTCTCCCAACTTCAGTAGCTTTATAAGTTTGACGATGTGATTTTTTTACGATTTTGCGAGGATTAATTAACACTGTTCAGAACAGATTATTTTTACAGTATATTCTTTTAGGAATAAGCTTAACAACCTGATTAAGAGTGACTAAAACCATATTGAAAACATTCCCCTTACAAACACTCTATGCAATATCTAGACTTTCTTGAATAACACTTATCATTCTGAATGTGCCCCTGATGAAATTGTTGTCTTTTGACAAATTGTTTAAGAAAGTTATGTTTAAAATTTCAGGCAACAGGAACCATTGAGAAAATAGATAATATCCTTGAAAAGAATTCTCATCTGGATGATGAAATAAAAGAACAAAAATCTAAGGCTTGTGGTATTTTAAATGAAGCTATTCTACTACAGAAGGTTAGTTACAATGTAACGTTTGGTCTTTACTGTTTATGGTTCAGTAACAAAGAAATCATGAGAGTGCTTAATGAATAAACATCATAAAATAATAAAACAGCATTGAATCATCATTATTATTATTATTTACGTATTAAATTACAACAACTCACTTTATTATAATAGACAGTATATTCTGTTGGTTTAAAAGTTTATTGTTTTATCACATACTCTCGGTTGAACTTCATGGTAGTAATGTTTCTAGATTTTACAGTAACTAGTTTATTATCAGATTTTTACTTAAAAAAATTAGCAAACACTTTTGTAACAATTTTGTCAGCTTCAATCAGCTAATCAGTAAATGTCTTCTAACATTTGATTTTTTTTTTTGTTTATCACCAATGGAGCTTCCAGTAAGAAGAATACAAAATATTTCGTACGACGAATTTAATTACAGAGCTAATCACAACAGGTGAATTACAACACCTAAAGTATTAGTTAAAACGTTATTTATATAACTTACTTATGAAGAAATCAACGTTAAAGCTGTTGAAATATTATCTTCATTAAAATTGTGGTAATCTCATGTACACTGATTTCTTACAAAGAAATTGTT